GAGCTGACGATTCACTGTATCAACCACTGCTAACAAACTATCAGAAAGAGCTGACGATTCACTGTATCAACCACTGCTAACAAACTATCAGAAAGCTCCAGGGCTCAACGGTACCAGAAGCATCAACTATGCTGGAGTGACAACTGTACCGGGGGGAAGACTGTGCAGGAGGGACCAATGTATAGGGAGGGACGATTGCCCCGGGAGGGACCACTTTGCTGGGAGGGAGGTGTTTCGCAGGTGGGAGGTGAGATGTGAATGCTGGAGGGGCTGAGGGGGAGGGGTCAGAGAAGGCAGGGTGACAGTTTACAGACCTCCCTAAGCCCTGACAGGCTTGTCTTTGGTGAGAGATTGTGTGTGAGAGAGACCCTAAGAGAGAAGATAGACACTGTGAGAGAGAGGGAGAGATCATGAGAGAGATTGTGCTGTGTGTATGTGAGCGAGCGAGAGAGTCATAGAAAGCAGAGAGAGGATCTCTTCTGAGGGTCACATTGAGCTGCTGCTGCTTTGAGGGAAGTCTAGAAATCACCACCATGGCGGAAGACATTAAGACCAAAATCAAGAACTACCGAACTGCCCCTTTTGATAGCCGCTTTCCCAACCAGAACCAAACCAAGAACTGCTGGCAAAACTACCTGGATTTCCACCGCTGCGAGAAGGCAATGACTGCCAAAGGTGGTGATGTCTCCTTGTGTGAATGGTATCGGCGCGTATACAAGTCCCTCTGCCCCCTGTCCTGGGTGTCAGCCTGGGATGACTGCAGGGCAGAAGGCACATTCCCTGGGAAGATCTGAACTGGCCCACCTTACCTCTCTGCCGGAATCTTAAATTGTGACTTAACTAATAATAAAGACTTACTGGAAAAATGTAAGAGAGTGTGTATGTATAAAAGAGCTGGACAAGAAGGCGGGAGAAGTACCAGATTCCCTGACCAATAGGAAGGCGTCTCAAAGTAATTATCTTTTTTATCAAACTTTGACCATATCCTGTTTTCCAGGCAGTCATCTTCGAGTCGTCTCAAGTCTGTGTGCTAAAACTTACTGGTATATTTTGCTTTATTAGCTGCTCAAATTTTCTTTCTTTTCCACTTTTAGTAATACTTATGTATACACAGAAAATTAGGTTCTCATTTATCAGTTATTGCATTGGTTACATTTTCCACACTTTTTTATTTTTTATTTTACTGTTTTCCTGTGTGTACTGTCAAATGGGATCTGACTGGTATAGGAGGAGACTGTCCTTCTCCAGCAGAGCATCTGTTGAACCGTGTGCTTCTGGGATTGCAGTGCAGTTTCTTGCCACTAGACCATCAGAGCTCCCTTTTTTCCACAAAATACTTATTAATGTCTTCCTGGATGCTCATTAACAGTAATCCAACTTCACTATCCCCTTACTCTTCTATTTTTGCTTTAGAGGAATAATTGACCATTTGGTCTCATGTGTTATTTAACATTTACGGTATATACTGTGAAATAGGATATTACGTGATTTGGATCTTTTCTGACACCGTATTATATACAGGAAGCCCCTGGATTATGAAATAAGCCTTGTTTGTAAATCTGGCTTTATGTTAAATTTGTACGTAAGTTGAAACTGAGATATGGTTAGCTAGGTGTTTAATGTCAGCCAGCCCCATATTGGTTTTAGTATACAGTATACCTTTCCCTGCATAAGAAACATTCAGGAAATAGTTACAGCAACACTAAAACATCTTTAACATAATACTGCACTACTATATTTTTTTTTTGAGTGAAAGTTGGCAAATTATTGGTTTTGAATTTGCTTGTGTATGTTTTACAATAATTAATTACAGTATCTACATAAAAAAAAAAGAAAGCAGAGAGAGAAGTAGACAATGATGGGGTAGAGAGAGCGGGAAGGGAGGAGGGAAGGAAAGGGGGAGGGAGGAGTGGAGACCAGGGAGCAATGGAGGGTCAGGTGGGGAGAGGCATCAGAGGGCGGGGTCAGAGAGAGGAGGGGGAGAGGTGGGAGCAGGACTCTGAAGGGCCTGGAACCCTGGTGGAACCCTAGTCTAAAGAGCCTGGTTAATTAACCGGGGTAGGGGTGGGGGGTGCGGAGGGTGGGGGTGTTAGTGGGTGCATGAGGAGTCAGCTCCTTGTGACCCCCCCATGGGAGGGGCTACAGCCATCTAGAGGTTGTGAGGGGGGGTGAGGGAGGGAGGGGCCTGGGACAGCAAGTCCCACCCCACAGGTCAAACTGAGTGAGTCTCTATGGGGACCACATCCACTCTCCTCAGGGAGCCCTGGCCATGGACAAGGTGCTCCCCAGAGCCAGGCTTCCTGGTCAGTGTCCCCTGCGGCCTCGCCTCATTCCCCTGCTTGTCCCGGGCTATCCCCTCCCGATCTCTCCAGACCTCTCTGCTTACTGTTACACTGCCTGGGCTCAGCCTTCCACACCTGGACGGTGAAACAGACCCCATCAACAAGCCAGTGTCAGCCCACCAGGTCCTCAAACCTCCACACTGACAAGATTCACACTGTGCTCCACCGGCATCACACTGACACTCTGGTTTTAAAGAAACAGCCCCCTTCTCCCGCTGCCGCCCCTGCTCAGAGCCGCCTCTCCCAGGCTGGAGGGCACTGCTTCCTGTTTACCTACGAGTGTGCAAGCTGGTAGCTATAAAACTACAGCTAAATGTGATATGGGGCCAACCTCCAGAAAAGTGACTTAGACGCTAGGCACCCGAGGGTTCTGGTCCCTACTCCTCTTGCCAAAGGCTCAGTTGAGCTTATTGATGTGAACCTATCTGATGTCTAAGGTTTATCATTTAGAAGTCTTTCCTAACCAGTCATTGAGTGTTTGTTTTGCGCTGAACTAAGCGTGTTAAGGAGCGAGGTCTCGGATGGGCTACCCACCCTCCCTCACTGAGGCTTCTTGTATGTTCCTGGGAGCTCAGCGCCAGGCTCCTTCTCTTGTGAAACTTGCCGGGGACTCAGCATCCAGCCGCCTCCAGCCTGGCCCATCGCTTACCACTACCAGCCTGCATCCCCCAGGGTCACCATTCAGCTGCGCCACACCTGAGTCCACAGGCTCCTGGCCCATCGCTCACCCGTTTCTGCAAAACCAGCCTGCATACCTATGATCAGGTGAGTCATTCCCCTGTCAGGGCCGTGTCTTTGGGAGACCCTCCAGTGAACCCTGGAACCCAAGGGGCATGGAGGAGCGAGGGAACTGAACAAAGAGGGAGGTGCTGACGCTGGGAATCGTGGAGGCGTACGGCAGGTCAAGTATCCGGGACAATGGTCTGCCACTAAATTTAGCAGAACAAATTAGAAATACAACCTGAGATAGAGTGATGGTGTGTTTTTTTCTGAGATTGAATTTTGCTATATCCCCATTTTACAGATGGTCAAACAGAGGCTCCTCCTATATGGAGCCTGGTCTTCTCTCCAGTCTAAACAGCCAGGTCCTCACACTGCACGGTGGGCCTAGGTGGATGTGGACACCCGAGGGTGTCCTCAGGGCCCCACACGCTCACTCCGGTGCCCCTCTCTGACCAACTCTGATCTGGGCAGCACTGAGCCTCCCTTCCCACCTGGACACTGTTCACACCCTGCTGGGAGAGTGGACAGGTAATGGGCACCAGGGGCCTGAGGTTAACAGGCTGACGCTGGCCCCTTTGGAGACAGCACCTACCTGCTGGATGAGAGACAGGGATGAGGCACAGGGGTGTGGACACGGGCGGAGCACTTGCTCTGTGGGATCTGGGCGCGTTAGCACCACCTGGAAGCTTTAACGGAAGCAAACACCAGAGGGAAGCTCTGGACGCTGGTGGACAGGACTTCCGGGCCCAGTGGGAGCCCTCAGGACACACAGCAGGTATCTGGATGGCAGTGGGGCAGAACACTCACCCTGGGAGGTGCTGGCCGGCTGGGAAGTGCTGGCTGGCTGCCCGGCGGCCTGGCCCAGCTGGTCCGACAGCCACAGCTGCATGCGGATGAAGGGCTCCCGGCCCTTCTGCGTCAGCTTGCTCCAGGGCTTCGGCCGGGACAGCATGTCACTCACGCTGCCCTGCGACAGGCCCAGCACCTGTGGGGCCGGGGAAACAGCCGGTCAGCAGGGCTCTGGGACACTGCCCACAGGCACTGAGAGGCCCGGGATGCCTTAATTTGTTCTTGGTGACCCATGTACTTGTTGGGGTGCCCACCCTGACATCTCTGTGAAACAAACCCTGCCTGTCCTCTAAGCCTCCCAAATGCCCCTTCCTTCAGGTAGCCTTCCGAGGGCTCCCTCTGAATTTCGTTCTGTCTTTTCACTCACGTGAGCCTCTGTTTGTCCCTCTGAAAGGGCAGAAGTTATAGTACAAGCCACCAAGTAAGTGAGCTGCATGGCGCCTAGCAATGGGGATGCTCTGGGGCCCTGCGCCCTTCAGTTCCAGGTGACTGGGCCCCCCCTGGTGGGTGTGCAGGTACGTGGCACTTTACAGAGCAGGATGGAAGCCATGCAGCTGAGACCCTGCACTGCCAGGACAGACAGCAGGAAGCAGGAAAGTGTACACAGACCTGACTGGTCCTGTCTGCACCCTGTCCTCAATCTGCCAGAGACTGAAGGCCGTGTTCAGGTGGACTCCCTGCCCAGCCTCTCCTCCTGTGTCTCCTGGGCCCTGGGCCTCCTTGTACTCCCCTGCTGTCCTCAATCTGCCGGAGACTGGAGGCCGTGTTCAGGTGGACCCCCACCTGGCCTCCCCTGGGCCCTGCACCTCCCAGTGCTCCCCCACTGCCCTTAATCTGCCTGAGACTAGAGGCTGTATTCAGGAGGTTTCCCTGCCCAGCCTCCCTCCTGGCCTCTGCTGGGTCCCGCGCCTCCCAGTGCTCCCCACTGCCCTCACCTTCTCCCCGAAGATCCTCTGGCAGATCCCGTTCTTGGCCAGCTTCTCCTTGACCTGGCGCGTCAGCTCCAGCGTGTCCACCTCCCGGTACATGTAGAGCTCGTACTGCTCGGGGGTCAGGGGGGGCACGGTGGGCTTCAGGGTGCGAGGTACGTATGCTGGGTAGTAGGCCAGCCGCCCCCCACTGCCCGTCTCAGAGACGCCCCCCTCAGCTTTCAGTTCCCCCGCCCTGGGGGGCTCGTCCTCGCCTGCGGCTGCCTCGTCCTCAGCGGCCGCGGGGGCCTCGTCCCCCCGGGGCCAGGCCCGTCCGTTGGGCTGGCTGGAGTAGCTGGAGGAGGAGGACAGTGATGGCGAGACGGAGGCGTAGGGCCGGCTGAGCAGGCCGCGGTCCGAGGCCCAGTGGTGGTCAAAGTAGCCGGCATCCCCGATCTCGGACTTGACCTTGCGGATGATGCTCTGCACGAAGGCCGCCGGGGACAGGACCGTGAGTGACGTCTGTGTGCCGCCGCCGCCGCCACCGCCGGCGGCCTCCTCCTGCTTCACGCAGGCTGGGGCCCCGTTCTGGCTCACGGCGGCCAGCGAGGGCCGCTCCGGGGGCGAGGGGGGCAAAGAGTGGCCCCGGGGCCCAGCCTCGATCTCCAGGAGCGCCTGCTGCTGCGCCTGCATCTCGCGGCGTGCTTGTTCCAGAATGTTCTTGATGGCATCTTCTGAGGTGCTGGCCGAGGCGGAGCCCTGGGTGACGCTCAGTGGGACTGCAGAGTTCTTGGGCTCACCTGAGGGAGGGTGACAGGAGGTGGGGCCCCGTGTCAGCCCAGGGCTTGCAGAGTGAGGGGCTTCACCACACAGTCATCTCTATCAGCAAAACACGGGGGGCCACCTCTGTGCCCCAGACCCGGGGACTGAACTGAACGGCGGGGTTCACGGCGTCAGGCAGCTAACTCAAGATCAACTCGACTTCCAGGGAGCAGACACGCTGGAGCCGCCCTCGGGGCCCCTGTGCCTTGTCCCGTAGGGTCACGAGGAGTCACAGCTGACCCGGTGTCAGGAGCTGTGCCTCTGGTTTACGTCTGCTAAGAGCCAACCCTGGTCCCCGAGTCACAGGTGCTCACCCTGCCCTTTGGGATTCTTTATGGGAGGAGAGTGCCCGTGCATCTCCCAAAGGGCAGTGGTGGGTTTACACTGCCGACCTCTCAGCAGTCTGATACGTCAGGCACTATGCCACCAGGGTTCCTCCACAGGGGACTACTCATGCAGTTACTAGAAAGCAGACTGACAGAGATTTTGTCACATGTGGAGACGTTCTCACATAGATGATGGAGGAAGAAAGTTGTGTTTTTTATAAACATCATGGTTCCTGATACTCCTGGCCAAGGAGAATGTCTTTGTCTGTAGGACAGAAGATGTGCTGTTTCGTTGTCTAAAAGGAGAGCCTCTCAGCAGGATGCACCGTGAACAGGGGCCCAGCGCGAAGCTCTGCTGAGCAGAGGTAAAGGCCGCCCTGCGTGTTCAAGTCCTGACACCGAGCGAGTGCCAGGCCCATCAGGCACACAGCACAGACTTCTGGGAGCTCAGAAACACCTCGTGAAGAGGCTCTTCTAAAAAGGCAAAAGCAAAGCAAAGATGGCTCTAAACTGGGATTGGGAGCTGTCTCTGCGGAGGCTGGGGAAGGAAGGGCTGCTGTGAGTCAAGGTCACTCTGGGTCCTGGGTCAGGCAGTGGATCCCAGAGCTTTATCACGTTACCTGAATGAGGGGCTGCAGGGAGCAACACAGAGGATATGATGCACCAAGGGCCGAGTGATGTGGGCTCTGAGGGCCGATAATGAACTGAGCACATTCAACACAGACAAGCAATACTCCAGGGAAGGAAAGCGCCCCTCTGCCTGCAGAGTGGCCTCCCCAAGCTGGGGTCTCCCCAAACCTGGACAGGGACCCAGCTGGACAGGGATAATCTGTTATCTCCGTAAGCACCCACCCTCGTGGACCTTCAGCCTTGTTTAAAGAACCGCTGTTGCTTTTCCAATTAGAACCACCTAGTGATGGTAAGCTATCCAGATATAGAGAGCGGCACCGAGATGTGCACCCACGTGCCGAGCCTTGAAAAGAACTATGCTCAGAGGAAGGAGGATCATACGACCACGCAGCGTCTCCACAAGGAGACAGAGCAGAGACAGAGAGTGGAGGGGTGGCCCCGGGGCCTCGGCAGGAGAGGAGGTGACAGAGAGTGGAAGGGTGACCCCAGAAGTCTCGGCAGGAGAGGAGGTGACAGAGAGTGGAGGGGTGGCCCCGGGGCCTCGGGAGGAGAGGAGGTGACAGAGAGTGGAGGGGTGGCCCCGGGGCCTCGGGAGGAGAGGAGGCGACAGAGAGTGGAGGGGTGGCCGGCGGGGCCTCGGCAGGAGCTGGGAGTGGGTGCTCCAAAGGCGATTCAGATCCTGAGACCAAACAGAGGTGCTGCTGGCACCCCTAGACATGGCTGACAAGCAACTAGGTAGCGATCCAGTTAAAAATGCTGAACTAACTAATTACCTCAGTAATAAGGTCACACATGTTTATGTGGAGAGCTAGGAAAGGTAAAAACCAAGGAGAGGCGGGAAACCCCTCCCAGGCTCTCGTCCCCGGGCAGGCCCGTGACGTGGCCATGTCCCTTCCGGTCCAGCCGGAGCCTCCACCCGCGGGACAGCCTGGCCTGCCCCTCAGGAGAAGCGCCCGGGTGGGACCGACATGCACAGTGCTTCCACTGTTCATGCTGTGTTCTCCGTGAAGGAGCTGCCAGGGTCTGCACTCCGGGCCTGCCTCCTGTGTCACCAATGCCCTGTCTCCGGGCCACCTCCGGCTCACAGCGAGTGTCCCTGGCGCCCTGTCGCTGCCACGTCTGCACTGGATGGCGCTTTCCCCGTCTTCCCGCTCAGTGAGCGGAATCAAACCAGACCCATGGTTACGGGGCTGAGTGTGACTCAGGGCCCTGCAGGGCGTTACGTCAGTGACTGCCTCAACTCTGCCCCGTGGAGCAGCTGGTGGTGTTGGCCTTCAGCTTAGCCGCCCTATCAGGATCTCTCTACAGGAGTTAGTTCTCCAAGGAAGAAAAGAAACCGCACACAGTGGGACTTCATGGCCTGCACAGCTGGGTTCCAGAGTGCAGGGCAGCAAGGCTCCCAGCCCGTTAAGTCTGCCCCACCTGGCACTGGTTAGAGGTCCAAGGACCGGGAGGAGGGCCTGGGAGACTCCAGTGACCGCTGGGCAACGAACCCCAGCAGAGACAACTTGGACGTGGGGACAGCAGCTCTTAGCAGCCACCAGGGGGCAGCAGACACTGCAATCCAGTCTGGACACACGGCCAGTGGGATGGACAGTGAGGTCAGCAGAGAAAAGCAATCCAGCGTGTAATGACGGTGGGGTGGTGTGACCATGTGATCCTCACACCCCGAAGAGAAGAACCAAGGATCTCGTCTTCAAGATGAGGAGATGAGGCAGTGGGGACTTCACACACGTGAGTAAGGTGGGATTTTCTTAAGTGGGCTCTAACTAGAATCACAAGGAAACTCCTATGACGGGGGCAGCAGGGTCAGACCGAGACAAGAAGATGTGACTACAGGAGCAGAGGACAGAGATGTGAAGCTAGCAGCTTCACAAAGAACCACGGGCCAAGGAGTGAGAGTTACGTCCACAGGCTGGGACCAGCAGGAGGACGCTACCCCGCCTGGGTGCTCCGAAGAAACTAGCCCTTCTGATGCTTCCACTTCAGTCCAGCAAGACTAGGGTTGGAGTTTTGATGCCAAAGTTCTAAGAGAGTAAGTTGACTATTTTAAGCCATTGAAATGGTAGTAAGGAGCTTTGGTGGTGGAGTGGATTAGGTGTTGGGTTGCTAACCGAAGGGTCGGGGTTCGAACCCAGTAGCTGTCCTACAGAAGAAACACAGCAGTTTGCTTCAGGAAAGATCACAGCTGCGGCCACCTCTGGGCTGCCCCGCGCCTTCCACGGCCAGGAGCTGGGCCGCCCCGCGCCTTCCACGGCCGGGAGCTGGGCCGCCCCGCACCTTCCACGGCCGGGAGCTGGGTCACTCCGAGCTTTCCACGGCCAGGAGCTGGCCCGCCCCGCGCCTTCCACAGCAGTTTGCTTCAGGAAAGATCACAGCTGCGGCCACCTCTGGGCTGCCCCGCGCCTTCCACGGCCGGGAGCTGGCCCGCCCCGCGCCTTCCACGGCCGGGAGCTGGGCCACCCCGCACCTTCCACGGCCGGGAGCTGGGTCACTCCGAGCTTTCCACGGCCAGGAGCTGGCCCGCCCCGCGCCTTCCACGGCCGGGAGCTGACGCTGACACACAGCAGCGTGCTCAAAGCGGTGATGACTTGTGAGGGCCTCCTACGAGGAGCTGGACAGGCCATGGGGGTGGGAGGGACCACAGGGAAGTGTCTGCCGGGGACAAGGTGATGGCAGCTCAAGGGGAGAGACCAGGTTTCTGTGTCACTGTCACTGCGTGTCTGCAGACTCCACCAGCTGCAGCCGGCAGAATGATGTGAGGAGACTGTGTGGAAATGCACCGTCTGATATGACAGCTGTCAGTGCTGTCAGACACGCAGCTGAGGAACTGAACTTCTCGCACTTCCTTCCTTCATGTGGAGTGGGGGCTGCTTCATGCCGGGGAAGCTGAGCCCAGCACTTTTTCAGCCCGGATTTCACCAGTGAGGTCCATGCAGTGGGGCAGGTTGGGGACTGGGTTAGCGGGGCCAGCCAGGGACTGGGGCCAGGCGGGGACGTCAGCAGTGAGGTCCAAGCAGGAGAATCCACTCTGGAGGTGGAGGGCCCCATGCCCCACTCAGAGAGGTCCTGCAGGGCTGGCTGGACCCACGTCTGCCCCCCATCCACACTCACCTCCCTTCTGTGACTCAATCTCCTTCTTGGCCTGCTCCAGGATGCTCTTGATGGCGTCGTCAGAACCCGTCTCGGGCGTGCGGATTCTTGGGGTGATGCTGCCTGGGGGAGGCAAGAAGGCAGCTTACTGGAGATCTGCTCTCCTCCGTGAGTGTCCCCCACATGGCCTGAACAACCCGCTCTGGACAAGCGATTCTAGCTGGACAGTAACCCTGACGACAGCACCAGTGTGTGAAGTGAGGGCTGTACTCCCAGGATCCAAAGCTCCCAAGAGGTTACACAAGGGGAAACTGAGGCACAGGGGGTGGCAGTGGTGTCAAGTGTTGGTCAAAGGTCACCAGTGGATGAGAGACAGGGCTGGGATTCAAGCGCAGGTGTGATGAGGGCAGAACTCCCTCAGCCATGGATCCCATAGTCATGGATCCCCCAAAACCCTAGTCGGCGGTGCTCAGTATCCCACAGACGGGCAAGCTGAGGGCCAGGAGCATGGCGAGTGCAGCGCTGGACCTCAGTCTTCCTCCGTCACTGGGGGTCTGAGCTGCCCATGGAGATTGGGGTGGGGAGGGAAGAGGTCCCAGGAGGGAGCGGACACAGAGGCTCAGCGCTGCCAACTCCCTGGCCCTGCACAGAGCTGGACGGGCAGCGCAGGCCCCTGCCCCTGGACGTGGCCGCCCTACCTCGCTGCCGCACCTGGATGGTCCTCAGAGCCAATACGTTCTGCTCGTCCGCCAAGAACTGCTTCATCTTGATGAAGGGCTCCTTGCCCTTGACTGTGAGCTTGCGCCAGGGCTTGGGCCTGGCCAGGATCTCGCTGACCGAGCCCTGCGACAGCCCCAGCACGTAGTGGCCGAACACCCGCTGCCCGATGTTGTGCTTGAGGAGCTGTTCCTTCACCTGGAAGGCGATCTCGGCCGTGTCCAGCTGCTCCTCCTCCGCCCCCACGGGCCCGGGTGGGCCGCCCCCTCCACCCTCCGCCGGCTCGGGACCCGTGGGGGGCTCAGGGCCGGGCGTGGCCGGGCCGGCAGGGGGCTTGGCGCTGTAGAAGGCTGGGGGGAACAGCAGCAGGCCACCTGCCTCGCCCTTGAAGGTGGCCGGGGGCACCAGGTGCTTGGACAGCAGCATGTCCCCCGTCAGCCGCTCGCTGGCTCCCAGGCTGGGGAAGGGCGACAGGGAGAAAGTCCGCTGGCCGTCGGAGCCCAGGCTGGGGCCCAGCAGGGGCTGTCCAGGGCTGGGGGACAGGGGGTCTTCCGGCCCTGGGGGTGGTGGGAGCTGAGGCGGGGAGGGGTATGACTGCTCCGTGCCCAGAGAATCCTTGATGGAGTCATCCTCGGACGGGTCCTCCTCTATAGCACACAGAGGGAGACAGGCAGTGAGGGGCCAGAGGGCCACAGCGAGACAGAGAGGCAGACACACAGATGAGCAGAGAGTGACAGACAATGAGAGAGGGAGGGACAGAGACGAGGAGAGAGGGACAGTAAGAGAGTGAGAGAAACAAAGAGACACAGAGGGACAGAAGGACAATGATGGAGGGAGAGGTGCACAGAGAGACCATGAGCAGAGTGGACGAGAGTCAGCAACGAGGCAGAGACAGATGATGTGACAGAGACAGAGATGGAGAGAGAAACCTGAGAGGCAGAGAGTGATGGGGACACAGAGAGGGGTTCAGAGGTGGTGGAGAGACGGAGGGACGGGGCGAGAGGGAAGAGGTGCTGTAGTGACCAGCGGTCAAGGAAGAGCACACTGTGGGGTATTTCTGCCCCTGCTCCCCCTTGAGGCCGTTCCCCCCAGGACCCCCCCCAGCAGCATGAGCAAGGCTTTTCCTTATCAGCAGGGACAGCAGGCACTTGACACGTGGCAGTCCTGTGCCTGGTGTGAGACCTGCGTTCAGAACTGCCTTGTCTACTTTCTGGACTGAGGTGGAGCCCCCCAACCTGCTCTGTTCTGGACAAGGAGCTCAGGGCCCACTGGGCGCATCTGCAAGGCCTCTGTGTAGGTGAGAAGACGATTTTGGGAACTTGGTGTGATTTACTGCCTCTGAGAACGTGTTGGAGGGTCCGTGTATCAGTGCCGCATCGATGGAACACAATCACCTAACAGTCAGACCTCTAACGGACAGGCTGGAGTCAGGGGCAGCGAGGCTGGGCACGGAGGGGGCAGGGCCCTGGCGCCCACCTACCAGGGCTGGTCAGGAGGGCCGGCTTCTCCAGGAGGAACTTCTGGCCAGGGAAGAAGGCTTCCTTGGCCATGAGCAGGGAGTCGTCGGGCTTGGCCAGGCCCTGAGGGAACAGGAGGTCCAGCTGGGAGGGCACCGCTGCGCTGGGCAGCTCACCCTGCGGACAGTGCGGGGAGGCTTACCTGCGGGAGGCTGCAGTTGCTGGAGGCCAGCTTCATCGCCTTCAGAATGCTGCCGAGAAAGTGTCTCAGGTCAGTGGGCCCCGGGGCCGTGGGGGAGACCTTCAATCTGCTTGACTTCCCTGCCTGAGAACAAGTGTCCACCTACAAGTGCATCAGGGACTCCCATGGCAGGGACAGGCTTGTGAGCAGGGTGTCCCCTGCACCCTGCCCGGACATGCAGAGGCCCTGACCGGTGGACGCGGCCTGGTGTGGGGAAACAGCGCATTAAAAAAAAAAAAAATTAAAAAAATGAACTTTTTAATTGTGATTGAGTCTAAAAAGCATATTGACTTTTCATTGAATCTTTTAAAAAATGTTTTAATTTCCACTCATTCATTGTTGCACACTTTCCTTCCTGCTCCAGAAACAGTGCCTTTGTTTGCAGGCTTCTCTCAGAGCACAGTGGGTCCACTCTTCTGGGGGCGTCTTATAAAAGAGAAGCAGAGGCCCGAGGAGAGAGTCACAGGGACAGAGTATGATGTTCCTAGAAACCACGGAGCATCAAGGAACCTCAGGGCCACAGAGAGTGTGCGACAAGGAGGGTCCTTCCTAGAGCCAGCAGAGGGGTGGGGACGTCCTGAAGCACGACTTCTCAGAAGGTCTTGTTCTGGAAACGCCTAGGTGGTATTTGTTATGGCAGCCAGAGGGGACAGAGACACAGGGTTAAAGCCTGACTGAGCGGTGCTGGTTAACGGACCTCCATACGCACTGGTTTTAGCATATGTCACTGAGGCGTCACCGTTTAGGTGAGCACCTGGCGGTTTGGCGCCTACAGGCAGGTCTGGAGGGAGCAGGGCCCAGCATGGACACTCTGATGCGCAAACATCAGTTCACAGGCAGGGAGGCTGCAAAGTGGGGTCTGCTGGGAGGGAGGAAGGCTATTAGCTCTGCCACAGGCTCCTTCCTGTCTTCCCAGGCGGCCCCCCAAAGGGCAGAGGGTTGGGATACCCATGGAGCTCCATCCCACACAGTACCTCAGCTCAGTCTTAATCTCTTCATAGTCAGACTGTGCCTGGAGCTTCTCTTCCAGCTTCTAGAAGAGGAAGGAAGGGTGATGGAGCTTGCTCACGAGGGCGGGGGCCCTGCCTTACTCCCCCTGCTCCCCGACGGCCTACCTCTATGGCCTCGGACTTGGCCGTGAGCTGCCGCTCCAGCTCTGCAATTTGGTTGGCCGAGGCCTCCTCCAGCTCCTGCAGCGAGTTCTGGAGGACCTGCACGTCCTTCAGCAGCCGCAGGATCTCCCTGTCCTTGGAGGCCAGCGCGGCCTCCAGCCGGGGCCCCGAGCACAGTGTGAAGTTCACTTTGTCCTATGGATAGAGAGGTGTGCTGAGCTGATGGTCCCCATCCAAACCAAGCAAAACAGGGACCCGTTCACGGTGCATCCCCAGGGCTCAGCTCCACGCAGTGACTCAGGCCCCCCCAGGGGGTCCACAGTGCCAGCCCCAGGGCTCAGCTCCACACAGTGACTCAGGTCCCCCCCAGGGGGTCCACGGTGCCAGCTCTCACCACTGATCACATTCAAGCTGGTCCTACCAGCTTCATCCTCTGGAGGAAGGTGTCTGAACAGCAATGACCCCAAGTACAAGCTAGGGAAAAGTGGCCAGAGGCCTCGCTAAAGCCAGACGCAAGCTCTCAGTGATTATGAGCCTCAGTGTAGGCTGACCTTGAGACAGCACAGGTTCAATTCCCACCACTGCATTAGAGCACGCACCACAGTGAAACAAAGGTCGCGAACCTCCTCATTCTCCAGTGAACACCAAAGTGATGTCTTCACTGCGTCTACTAAGCGTGCAACAGCACAAACCCCAAGACTCATGGCCGTCAAGTCGGGCCCCACTGACAGCTGAGCCTGCACGGGCCCCTGAGGCAGTGAAGAACAGCAGGGGAGGGGACGCCTCATGTCCTGAGGGGCAGCAGCGTGACCAACCTTGAAACTGTGTCAGACGGACTGAAATGTGACCCAGAGACACCAAGCTGGAAGAAATGGCAGCAAAAGACTTGCTCAGTGCAAGGCTGCTATAAACCCTCTTTTTATAAAAAATGTAGTATCTTCTAAGTGCAATAAAATGAAGAATGCCTGAACGTGCCCACGGACAAAGCGGGCATTATGCACCCTGCTTGCTGCAACTGAAGAAAACCTGAAGCTCTTGCTGCAGAAGGTCGAGATCTGCAGTCTTCAATCTGGAGGAAGCTCAACATCAAAAAGACAAAGATTCTCACCACTAGACCACCTGGCAGCACCATGATGGATGGAGAGGAGATTGAGGCTGTTAACAATCACAGCTTGCTCGGCTCTACCATCAACACTCATGAGTCGGAACGGACCCATAGCTGACCCCGCAGCAGGTTTTCAGAGGCAGTTAATCATGTGGGGAAAGAATGCCCATCCTTCTCCTCTGGAGTAGCTGGTGGCCTTGAACTGCATGCCTTCGGGATTGCAGTGCAGCTTCTTGCCACTAGGCCCCCAGAGTTCTCTTACACAATCAACACTCTTAATTAACACCAGCAGTCAGGAAATCAAAAGATGAATTGCACTGGGAAAATCTGCTGTTAGGGACCTCTCCAGAGTGCTGACATGCAACAATGTCAGTCAAGAGACTAAGGTGTGCCTAATCCAGGCCACGGTTGTCACAATTACTTGTTATGCTTCAGAAAGCTGGACAACGACTAGGATGACAAAAGAAGACTTGATGCCTTTGAGTTGTGGTGCTGGAGAAGAGTTTTGAACATACCATGGATAGCCAAGAAAGCAAACAGATCTGTCTTGGAGAGGGTGAAATCAAGTTTCTTCTTGGGGGCTAGGATTTTGAAGCTCCATCTAACATACTTGGGGTACATGGCCAGAAGAGACTGATCCTTGGAGAAGGACATCATGCTTGTAAGGGTGGAGGGACAGCACAGGAGATGAAGACCCCAGAGGAGATGGACTGACACAGTAACTGGGGCAGTGGGGGTTAGTATGTCGGATTTAGTGAGATTGGCTCAAGACAGGGAGGGTTCATAGCTGCTGTACATAGGGTCACTAGTGACTTGATGGCACATAATAACAACAAGAAAAACACCATGTACTATGACAGGTATGCAAATGTTCCTGTACCCTCTGTAACAGCCCAAACCTGAAAACACACAAAAGCCTATAACAAGACAATGGACAGAAACGTGGCATGGGCATGCAATGGAATACTATACAGTCAAGAAAAGGAATGGTCAGCATGGATGACTTGCCCAGCTATAACACAGGATGAGAAGTAGCCACAGAGAAGCAGACACGGTGCAGTCTCATTAAGGTCAGATTGAAGGCAGCATCATCACCACTGGGAGCTGTCACAGGCCAGGGTGGCGGTTCTCCTTGGAGAAGGGTGTGTCTGTGCTGTGGTGACAGGCCATTCTGTGAAGATACTATGATCTGTACATGAGCCCTCACACATGCTGAATAAAAATGTTTATTAAGAATAAAACAGGGATGAAGTCAGAAGTGGTGGTGGCACAGTGCTCCTAGCAGAGAGAACGGCACGTGTAAATCTTTCCAGGTTAGGTCTGTTCCTTCTCCAGGGGGCTGTCCTCTCTCCAGGCAGCAAGAGACCCTCAGGGTTAGACGGAAAACTTGGAGCCTCCAGCCATGGTTCCAGCGGCTTCTTCCTCCCGCCCCTGAGCCCCTAGTCCCACAGTGTTAACAGCCTTTCAGAAAGGGCTCCTTGTCCTGGACAGAGTGGGAGCGGCTGCTCCCCAAAGGGACCTGAAGGGACCTGAAGTCAGGCTGCTCTCAGGTTCAGTTACAAATGAATCTAAGAAGCATCAGAGAAAAAAAAATCACACAAACAAAAACAGCCCCCTCGCAGCCCCAGCCCCAGCTATTCTTCCAAGGAGATAAATGCCAATTAAAACAGGAAGCGGATGCCATTAATACATTAAATTAATTAGCATCGAGCGCCACTGTTGTGTTCAGAAAAGCTCACCCCCCAAGCCAGCCAAGTTCCCTTGGCTGATTAGCATAGGCATTTGCTGGGTTCCATGGGGGTTAATTAAGAGCCATCGGCAGATTCCTCTTGGATGCATCCTCGCGAGCTTTCCGCTCCGGCTGTCTCCCACATCCCTTCCCGCAGGTGCCATTCAACACCCAGGAGCACGGATGGGGACACACACAGACACACACACACACGAGGTTTTACTACACTTACCACCATGGCTATTGCTACCACTGTTACAACTGTTACCACAGCCATTACTACCACTACTGCTGTTACTGCCGCTACTATTACTACTGCTACTACTGCTGTTATGACACTACCACCACCACTGGTAGCAAACAGTTACTGAGCACACGCTAGCTTCTTAAGGGTTTTGCAGGCCTTTCATTCCAGCAGTGGAAGGCCAGTCCTGAGTCTACCTCAGTCTAGCAGTTCCGCTGAAACCTACCCACCCTAAATGGCCCTGCTGCTATTTGAAATATTGGAGGCACTGTTTTCAGCACCGCAGCAAGACACAAGTTACCCAGTATAGCAAACGGCCAGACAAGTCCTGTACTCACAGGAGCAAACTATAAGCAAACAAGTATTTACAAACACAGACTAGGAAACAAGCAGTGTCTGTTCCAAGCCATAGTCTTTTCTATACATCTGAAGGTTGGACAATGATTAAGTAGAGCAAGAACTGATGCCCTTGAGCTGTGGTGCTGGAGAAAAGCACTGGCTAGCCCATGGAGTGCCAAAGGAACAAACACATTCGTCTTAGAGGAAGTGTGAGCAGAATTTTCCTTAGAGGCAAGGATGGTGGACTTCACCTCACATCCTCTGGGTATGTTGTCAGGAAGGACCAATCCTTGGAAAAAGACATCATGGTGGGAAAGGTGGAGGGCCAGAGAAAGGGAAGACCCTCAACAAGATGGACTGACGCAGTGACTGTCATAGTAGGTTCACGTGTATCAGAGACGGGCAGGATGCTGAGGAGAGGGCAAGGTCCAGGTAGCTGTTCACAGGGTCGCTAGGAGTTATGGTCTGATCAGCTGCGCTGGCATGTCTGGCAAACAGATGGCTGAATAAAAGAGTTAGGCTTCAGATCTTTGGATGTGGCCACCCCACAGTCCAACGAGGTACAGGTTCTGATGGGCATCCAATGAACCGTCCTGCCCAACTACCAGGTATGTGAATGTGGTGTTCAACAGCGCCACCTCGTGCCAGGCCGCAGAACTGCACAGGTAAGCGTTAGACAGCGACACCTGGTGCCAGGTCCCAGAACTGCACAGGGCAGCATTCAATAGCGACATCCGGTGGCAGTCTCAGAACAGATATAACTTGCTCCTCTCTGCAGGGCATCAGGTGACAGGAAGGATTCTCTCTGTCTTGAATAAGTTTCCTGACAACTAGGGGCGATGGATATCTCCACAGGAAGCCAGTGTGGCTGCATGCTTACCCTCACCTGGTGAAGGTAGCCACTAGGCTTGTTTAACTTACAGGCTGGCTCTGGCCATCAAGACCCCCACCCGTGTGCACAACCTCCCAGAGGGACATCGTCTACTCCTGCAAATGTCAACACATGCTCATACCCCCCGAGTCACCTCCCCCAAGCATTCTTGCTGGCTCCCCTAAGCCCACCCTTACCCCACCAGGTCCTTGTGGGGAGCAGCAAGCCAGGTGCATGGAGCTGTTGACTGAGGCGAGCTGTTCCCGAAGACTTTCCACCTCCCGCTGGGCAGCCTCGGCTCGCTGGAGGAGAGAGGGGAGCAGATGGTTACCCTGCGTTCCATCATCTCAGATGAAGAGGGAGGTACCAAGGATCTGGGACCCTGCTTATTGTATATTGGACCTAGCTTTGGCCACCTGACCCTGGAGCAAGTGGGTGTGTCCTCTTGCCACAGTTAGGACCAGGAGCCCAGCCACAGTGACCCACCAACTCATGCCCTGGTGGTACAGGGATTGGGGTGAGCTATGGATGGTGAGCAAAGGGATGGTGGCCATGACTTGTCCTGGTGGCCAGACCTGCCTCCTGTCCATCTCTGTCCAGCACAGGTCAGTACAGCTGCAGCCAGAGCAGAGCAGGGTGTGGGAACAGGGACTAGAAACTGGGAGACGAGGGCTTGGGAGATTAGAAATGCAAGGAGAAGGGCTGGGACAGGATGGGGACCCAGGGAAGGCACGTGGCTGTGTGACTCGGACTGAGGGAGGAGGGTGCAGATGACCAGAAGGAGGGAGGGGCAATGGGCAGGAAGGGGTGGGGGAGAAGGAGCTTTGGCTCCCCTCCCCTATGCCCCCACCCCCCATTGGATCATGACTCCTTCAGTGGGCCTGGCTGGGGAGAACCACCCCCCAGCTCCCCCAGGGTGGGCACTTGTGGGCGGGCATCCCAGCCCTGCCTCTCCTCACCTGCTACCAAAAATACTCCTGGGACTGCCTAGTGGGCAAGGTCCCCTCAAGAGGCAGGTCAGTAGGGCTCTTCAGGCTCCCTCCAATGCTCCCTGAAACGCTGATCCTCACTCATACCCCCCTTCCCCCATCAGCCCCTCTGCTCAGTCCCCCTGCCCTGTCCATGCTGCTGGGGTCACTAATGACACATTGCCTGTCTCACCCCTGGTGGCCCCCGCCCTCTGCTCTGAGAGCTCCCACTCCAGCCCTTCATGTGCCCATGGTGCACAGCCCCCATGGGACATAGCAGAAGTGCCCACAGGTCTTTCCCCGGTGGTGATCTATGGGAGGAGATGGTAGCTGGTGGGTGTGAAACATCCAGCTTAACTCCAGCATCACCATGGTTCTTCCCACAGCTCCCTGGTCACAGAACTGCACCCTCTCCACAACTGGCCAGCAGGCCTGTGGGCAGAGCGGGCATCATGTCCTCACCTGATTGGCCTTTTCCAGGTTGGTCATGATGAGCGTGACTTCATCTGCCCTGAGACACAAAGACAAGGCCCTGAGGGCGAGCTGGGGTTGTGCACCCCAATAACCCAGCCCTGACCTGAGCCAAGAGCCTCGCCACTTCCCCCAGGAGAGGAACCAGACTTGGAAGAACACTCCAGGAGGTGTGGACAGAGGGTGGGTGGGTGCACAGGGCTTAATGACTTGGGCACGTCAGGCAGAGGATCAGAGGGAGGAGAGGAAGCAATTCTAGGAGGGCCAGAGGGAGGAGGCATGCTCCAGGAGGCTCAGAGGGAGGAGGTACATGCTGAAGTGTCAAAGGGAGGAGGCATGTGCTAGAGGGTCAGGGGGAGGAGGCATGTGCTGGAGTCAGAGGGAGGAGGCATGTGTTGGAGGCTCTGTGGGAGGAGGCATGTCTGGGTCAGAGGGAGGAGGCATGTGTTGGAGAGTCAGAGGGAGGAGGCATGTGTTGGAGGCTCTGTGGGAGGAGGCATGTGCTGGAGGGTCAGAGGGAGGAGACATGTCTGGGTCAGAGGAAGGAGGCATATCTGGGTCAGAGGGAGGAGGCATGGGAGGAAGCATACGTTGTGCTGGAGGGTCAGAGGGAGGAGGCATGTCTAGGTCAGAGGGAGGAGGCATGTGCTAGAGGCTCTGTGGGAGGAGGCATGTGCTGAAGGGCCAGAAAGCAGAGGCAGGTCTGTGAGGTGCAGAGAGAAGTATCCTGTCGGGAGGGCCAGGGCCAGGCATGCCTCAGTAAGGTGCTCACTTACTTGGCCGCAGCCTCCTCGTCGTACTTCCGTCTCAGCTCCAGCAGCTCCGTCTGTGTGGCCTTTAACGCTGGGGAACAGGAAAGACATGGGTGAGGGCTCTCTTCAGAGAGGGACGAGGGACAGTGAAAACTTTCAGAACTGGGACAGAGAGGGAGACTGTCTTCCTTGGAGGGGCAAGGAGGGCAGGGGGAACATTCTCTATGAGTCTGTGAAGCGGAGGGGCCCAGGAGTAGGGGTGTTGTCTGCTGAGGGCTTGGGGCTAGAACACTCCCTCTGCAACACTCGGTCACCCATGGACGTGAGTGGTGCCCGGCAGCCATGAGTACTGCCCACCGCCCACTCTAAGCTCCCAAGCTGGAGTTGGGGGCCGATGGGCTGAGGGCAAGGAGCTGTCAACAGATACAATTAGGGTATAAAAAACGAGGCTCTCCCCAGAATTCCAGGCTTCTGTTGGAAAAGCAAAGGCCTGTCTACATGGGGACACACGGCTACCCCTGGCTGGCTGTGAGCCATGGCCATCTCTGTGGCTGGTGGACCAAAGCTGAGTGCCCAGGCTGACTGTCCCTGGGCACCTCTCCTGCTGGCCCTCGTCTGAGGGCGCACAGGAGCCACATACCTGAATGCAGAACCTTGATCTTCTCCTCGGCCTCCCCCAGTCTGGCCGCCAGAGTGATCTGTACTTCTTGAAGGCCCCTGTGGAGAGGCAGGCTGCTGAGGCCCGAGGGGTAGCCTTGTCTCCCTGTCCCCTAGCCTGTGTCCTAGAATCGGCAACTCTTGTCTTTTTAATACAGATCTTTGCATGCGTGTAGTTGATTATTTTAACTGAGGTCACATAACTGATACAAAGCCAACCGTTTCAGTTTTCACACAGACAGCTCAATAATGGCCACCAGCTCGCTCTCCTCCTGAGGGAACCCTGGGCCCCTCCCCATTTCCTTCATCTCCTACCCCTGCCACCCTACTCTTCCTCCGAGTCCACAGACTTGCTTATTTTGAGATCTCAGACCGATGGAATCTTCCAGAACATGGTCTTCTGTGTCTGGATTCTTCCGCTCGGCATCATGCTTGCTGGGTCTCCCCCACGTTGGAGCAGGTCCAAGGCTGACCACTTCTCCCTGGCCTGCTGTGGCCCCCCTTGTGTGTCCAGCAGTGTGATGGGCAATCGAGCGCTCTTCACCTTGGGCAGCACGGGCTCTGTCCTTGCATGCGGCCCTGTTTTCTGTTCCCTTGGGCTCGACACCCAGGAGTGGGTTTGCGGAGCCTCGGTGAGTTTGGTGCTGTGTTTGGGGCGAGCTGTTTGCTCTTCCACGGCCCTCTTACGCTGACTGCACGGCCCATGATGGCCCCACAGCTGGGTTTCTGTCCGTCTTCAGACTCTCCGGGCAGGTCATCTCTGTGGGCCTCCGACATCTCTCTGGTCAAAGAGGGCTCTGCAGGGCCAGCTTCACAGAGGGTGCCTGATCTGCTCCCTTCTCTGCGAGAGCGGTACCCATTCCCTCTTCTCTGACAAAGAGTTTGGGGGCTCCATCAGCCCATCGGGATTTCACTCAGTAAAGAAAGAGGGGTCCCAGGAGGGGCGAACCCACTGGCATCAGGCTGACTGTGCTCCCTGCTGGTCTCCTGTGGAGTGGCTGGTGGGACTGAACTGCCGTCATTAACCACTGCACCACCAGGCTCCTTCTAGCACGTCCAGCGGTGGTTTAAGTGAAGCTCTGTGACTCTGGAAGGAGGCCCCTCCTTGTCTGCAGATCCGCATCCTCAGCCTCCCTCCTGCTCCCTCACTGTTGACCTCAGGCCGCCCTTGTGCCCGGACACCCACATCCTGGCAGGCCCACCCTCTCTCTTCCTTTAGTCTCCCTGGGCTGTCTTCGGGAGATCTCCCCAGCATCCTATTTAAAACCAAGCCTCTCTCCCCTCATCGAAGTTCCTTCTCTGCCGTCATCTACCACACTAGGCCTTTTGTTTATCTCATCCACGTGTGTGTCTCCTTCACCAGGAAGCACACGGCAGGAAGGCGGGGATCTTCGTGTGTTTTCTGTGGTGTCCCCTGAGCACAGAACAGTGCCTGGAATGCAACAAGTACGTGAGAAGTGACTGGCAGGCATGAAGGCTCCCCCGATACCACTGTGCTTCTGGAGGAACCAGGGCTGACTGAGCACATACCGTGCGCAGCGCTGAGCTGTGCGCTGGGAACCTCTTACTGCGTTCTCTTACTGGGTGAGGAGTTCATATCACCATTAGTCCATTTTTCAGATGAGGGAACTAAGCCTGAAAGGCACCATGATCTTCCAAGGATGGCCACACAGCCGGCCAGCTGGTCAAAGCTGGAGGCAAGGCCCCAACCCTTCCTGGGCCTTGGGCCTTGGGCCCTGGGCCCACTCGTCCCCTCCATACTCACTTCTGCCTCTCAGCTTCATTTCTCTGCAGCAAGGTGTCTGTCAGGAGGGCTTTGCCAGGCAGGCTGGGGAGGCGGTTGCCCTCAGTCAGTGTGGGCCCGGCTGGAGTCGTCCCCTCTCTCTGCTCTGCGGGAGGGAGAGAAGGAAGTGCCCGGGAGGGAGAGAAGGAAGTGCCCTTGCTGAGAAAGCCAGAGAGGAGGGGGCTTCCCATGCTTGGGCCAGGGTCAAGCTGTGGGGTCAGTCTCCCCTCGTCGGGCTTGTCCCTTCATACCCAGGCGCCTCTGGTGCCTCCCGGGCCCACTCATGCTGTCTCCATCTGCTGACTACGTTTTTAACTTACCACTGCAACCATCTTAAAGTACATCATTCTCAACTTTCAGCCAAACCAAAGACAAGGTGAACAGTTGCCCCTAACTTAGAACAATCAACCCTATATGATCATAAGAGCAGCATTTGTCCAGGGAGAAAGCGCCAACTGCAGAACGGGCTGGACAAGGAGGAGAAGTGGAGATGGGGACCACAGGAGTTACACCATGGGGACTGCAATCAGCATCGTGAAGTAAATGTATATTGGATGGAAAGTAATTTGCTTTGCAAAGTTTGACTCCAATCACAATAAAACAATCAAACTAAAAGAGTAAAAATGATGTATAATTTGATGGCAGAATCCCGCGGTCACTAACTTGACTTTTCTGCGGAACACCTCTGTCCTCCCTAGAAGAAACCAGGCAGCCACGAGCAGTCTTTGGCTGTCTCCTCTCTCCTGGCCCTCGAGCCGCCAGTCTGCTCTGTTTCTGGGGACGTCCCCATTCTGAACGAGCTACAGAAATCGAATTGTATACTATGTGGAGTTCTGTGCCTGTACTTGCCCACCCAGCATCCTGATTAGCACAGTGTGAATCCACATCATAGTATGAATGAGAGCTTCATTCATTTTTATGGAGAAGAATATTGCAACAGGATCGGAGGAAGACTCAATAACAACCTGTGTTATTCAGATGACACAGCCTTGCTTGCAAAAGAAGATCAGTAAGTACAGCCTTCAGTATGGATTACATCGCAACATGAAAAAAACAGAAATCGTTACCACTGGACCAAAAGGCAACACCAAATGTTGTCATGTGCTGTGGGACCGCTTGTGACTCATCGTGACCTTATGTACTATAGTTCAGAACTCTGTCCTATTCTGAGGCAATCTCACTGTCTCTGATACACCTACTCCTATAACCCCAGTTACTGTGTCAGTCCATCTCTCCTGGGGTCTTCCTCTCCTGTGCTGACCTTTCCAAGCATGATGTCCTCGAAGGACTGGTTCTTCCTAGCCATGTGCCCAAAGTATGTGAGATGGAACTTCAAAATCCTTGCCTCCAAGGAGCAGCCTGGTTTCACCCTCTGCAGGACAGACCTGCTTGTTCTCTTGGCAGTCCACAGTATGTTCAATACTCTTCTCCAGCACCACAACTCAAAGGCACTGATTCTTCACCTATCATTCTTATCCACTGTCCAGCTCTCTGATGCATAGCAATTGCTGACGATCATGGCTTGGATCAGATGCACCTTAGTCTTTAGACTGACATCGTTGCTCTTTAATACTCTGGGGAAGTCCCTGACAGCAGATTTCCCCCCCCACCATGCAATTTGTCTTTTGATTTCCTTGCTGCTGGTACCAAGAGTGTTGCCTGTGGAGCCAAGAATGCTGAAGCTGTTAACCATCTCTTCTCTGCCTATTATGATGCTGCCTGTTGGCCCAATGTGAGAATGTTTGTCTTCTTGATGTTGAGCTTCAATCCATATTGAAGGTTGCAGTCCTTGATCTTCTGCAGCAAGTACTTCAGGTTCTCTTCAGTTTTACCAAGCAGGGTTCTATCATCTTCATAGTACAGGTTATTGATGAGTCTTCCTCCAATCCCGATACCACACTCCTTCTCAGAGAGCCCAGCCACCTGGATGATCTGTTCTGACTATAGATTGAAAAGGTATGGAGATAAGATGCGTCCCTGATGCACACCTTTTCTGATTTTGAATCATGCAGTGTTTCCTTGCTCTGTTCTGACGACTGCCTCTTGGTCCATGTGTAGGTTTCTCATTAGCACAATCAAGTGTTCTGGGACTCCCAGTGTTCTGAAGGTTGGCCACAATTTGTTGTGATCCACACAGTCAATTAATTGCCTTTTGCACAGTCACAGATAGACATCCTTCTGGTACTCTCCGTTTTCAGTTAAGATCCATCTAACATTGGCCACACTGTCCCTCAAGCCATGGTCTCTTCTAAACCCATACTGCACATCTGGCAGTTCTCTGTTGATGGCTGTTCTAATAGTTTTTGGATAATCTTCAGTAGGATGTTGCTTGTGTTTGATATTAGTGATATTATTCAATAATTTCCACACTCTGTTGGATCACCTTTTTTGGGGAATGAGAATAAATCTGATCTTTCCAGTCAATTGGCCAAGTAATTGTCCTCCAGCTTTCTTAGCATCACCTGCTGAGTATGTCCAGGGCAGCATCTGTTTGTTGAAATATGTCAATTGGTATTACACCAATCCTGGAGACTTGTTTTCTGCCAATTCCTTTAGAGCAGCTTGAACTTCCTCCTTCATCATCATTGCCTCTTGATCCTATGCTGTTTCATGAAATTATTCTTTGCCAGCCAATTAGTTTTGGTACAGTGACCGTGTACTCCTTTCATCTTTTTCTGATGCTTCCTGGATCATTCAACATTCTGCCTTCAGCATCCTTTATGTATTGTAACTAGAGGTTTGTATTTGTTCTTCAGTTCCTTCCATTGAAGAAATACCAAGCAAATTTGCCTCCCTTTTGATCATGACAGATAAAGAAAGGTTGCCAAGGATGTCATTATACTTGGATAGACGAAAAGACATGATAACAGCAATAAAGAGATCAAATGACATGTCGCGTTGGGAAAATCTGCCAAGGACCTCTCCAAAGCTCTGAAGAGCAAGGATGTCAGTTTGAAGACTAAGGCGTGCCATATCAAAGCCATGGGGTTTTCAATTGCTGTCTATACAGTAGAAGTTGTACAATTAATCAAGAAGAATGAAGAACTGCTGCCTTGGGTTGTGGTGCTGGTAAATAGTACTGACTATTCCATGGACTGTCAAAAGAACAAACAAGTCGATCTTGGGGGAAGCACAACCTGGGTGCTGCTCAGAGGCAGAGGTGGTGAGACTCTGCTTCACATACTCTGAACATGCTGTCAGGAGGGGTCAGTCCTTGGAGAAGGACATCGCGCTGGGAAAGGTGGAGGGTCAGAGGAGAGAGGGCGACCCTCAAGGAAACGGCTGACACAGTGAGTGTGACCAGGGACTCGAGCATGTCCGAGATGGTGAAAGGGGCAGGATCCTCCTGGGGAAGGTCCCGATCTGTTGTGCTGGGAGTCGTAGTGGGCTGACAGCACCCAGAGCAGAGGCACGTACATACTAGACACTGTGGGTGCCAGGCAGCAGGATGGACAGCAGGACACTGGGTTCTGGCTGACACTGGCTGCTGCAGGGTGGTGGTGACCCTGCGTGGGATAGCTGGGCTGTGTGCTCACAGGACTGTGAGGACGACTTTTGAAGTGGACAGATCAGCAGGCCTTACTTCCAGGGCATTTCTGGGTGAACTGAACTATCAGTCTTTCAGCTGGCTGTGGAGGGTTGACCGTATGCACCACACATGGATTCCAGGATCAGCTCAGGAATTCTGCACACTGCTGGTGTAGGATTCTCGTCTGGTGCCATCGAGTTGACCAAGACGCAGCGACCCTGGGAGCAATCCAGGTGAGCCCTGCCCTGTGCCACTCTCATGAGCTCTCACACGCTCCGGACCTCGGTTACAGTCACCATGCCGGGCTGTCCTTATGAGTGATGTCCTCTCTCTCTCTCTGACCTTCTCTCTTCCCCAGCACGTCTTTTTCCAAGGACTGGCCTCTCCTGGCAACATGTCCAAACGTGAGACACATGTCCAGGTCATCTCTCGCCATCACCTGTGCCCAGGAAAGTCCTGCCCACGCACTTCCACCTGCCTCTCTACTGGGCACCCAGGAAGGCTACATTTCCCAGACTCCCTTGGAACCAGGTGTGGCCACACGGGCTGTGGGACAGAAGTGACATGTGCCCTTCCAGCTTGGACTCCAGGGAGCCTGGGGCCAGGGCCCTGCACGTGTGCGTTCTGCCTGGTGCTGGCTGACAGCATTTGCTGTGGCTGCAGACGTCACGTGTTGCAGATGGCAGCCCTATGCAGCCTGGGTCTCTGAGTGACTGTGTGGAGCGTCCCTTGTCCCCTCCCCACTCTCCTCATCTGTCAAGCCCCGAAGCCTGCAGACTCCTGTCTTTCAGTGGCAGAACCACAAGCATCCTGCATCTGCAAGGGCCGGTCAAGGCCCCACCAAGGAGGGGCCAGACGAGCGCTGCTAGTGATCGGCAACCCGTCCGTCTGGATGTGCTGCCTGACTGCACAGATGCCGCAGTACCTTTGGGGCCCAAGAGCTCGGGGTGCCTCTTCCACGAAGTGTGGGGGTCCCAGCTGGGGGTCTGCAGTCTGTCGTCTAGGCTGCGAGCTGCCTCACACACAGGTGCGGGGTCTGCAAGGGGAGAGAGGAGGGCAGAGCGGTGAGGGCTCGGAGGAGGTGCGTCAGCTGAGGCCATGGGGCCTGGGGACCTTCCACAGGGACTTGGGGTTTTCCTGAGAGGCACAGCCCACATCTCTGATGACGTAAGGTTAGCATCATGAAGACTGCTTTGTGACAGGTCAGTCCTCTCTGTGGGGGGAGGGCGTTCTCTCCATTTGGGAATAATAGTTCAAGAGCATCATGGCACTTCCCCGGTTTGTTAACGATTAGCACTCTCAGCTGAGGGAAAGGCTGGTAGCTGGAGTCCACCCCGAGCACCTCGTAAGAAAGGCCTGGCGCACTCTCTCAGAAAAAGCCACACAGCCCTGTGGGCACGGCTCTCCTCTGATTGCAGGGGCGGCTGGGGATGCTATCCACGTGGTGGCAAATGGCTTTCACAGTGCCACCTGAGGTGGTTGGGAGAACATGGTCAGCAGACCTCCAAGGTCAGGGAGCAGGAGTGAACAGGGCCACTGGCCACCATGCTCTGACACCATCATATGGACGCTGCACTGGTCATCACTGGGACACTGAGGGGGTGCACTCTCAGAGCACGGGCTCCCCTTGCCTGGCTGCCCTCGGCCCTGCTCTCCTCCCACCAGGTCCTGCCCGCACCAGTTTCCAGCTCTGCCGGAGCACCCCTCTCCTCCTTCCTCCTTCCAGCTGCAGCTGCTAAGGGCCACAGAGCTAAGGCCGACTCACAGCAGCTCTGTGAACCCTGTCCTGTCCTGTCCTGTGCCATCCTCGCCTTCTCTGCCACACCTGAGCCCACTGACGCAGTCACCGTGTCAACCCGCCTGCCTGAGGGTCTTCCTCTCCTCTTTCATGGACCCTCCACCTTTGTAAGCATCATGTCCCTTTCTAAGGAATAGCCCAGCTGGTTGCTGCTTAGCCATCTCCCATATGGAAACTTCTACGCCTCTTCTTCCAAGAAGCCTTCCTTGGTTCGTTGGTCCTCTTACAGGACTTCTCCCAGCATCCCTTTCCAGCACCCACAAAAGTTATTACTTAAATTTATCTGTGAATCAACTCGGTGGACTGGACTCCAGAGTGCTGGGTAGGGATATCTGTTACTGCTCCCCCATGGGACCCTCTGCTCAGCCCCACCTCCAGGACACATTCTGACTCAGTAAGTCACATGCTGACGGAAGAGACAGGGTGTTCAGGTCTGGCTGGAACAAGGAGGCCTGTCTTCGTGCCCTCTCTTCTCCCACTGTTAGGGAGGTGGTGGTGGGGGAGCGGCTCGGGTGATGGGCGTTAGCGCCGAGGTAAGCAGGTGCACGTGGGGGCCGGGCGTCTCTCCTCGTCAGCACTCCCCACGCCCTGTCATTAGGCAAGGCCTGCTCAGCGGGGTGTGCCATTATGTCTCCCCGGGCTGATGTAATTATACATTGACATAATTAACCCAGCAAGCGCATTAGGCAGGCCAGCTAAAAATTCATCTATAATTATTTGTTGTGTGCATGCTAATGAGTCCATCTGTACTGCCTTTGTACAACACGAACAAATTAATTTACAAGTCTGGATTTTTTAATAAGTTCAAGAAAACGCTTCCTATTGTGTCCTGATTCTTTTTTTTTTTTCAGAGAAAGGAATAAAGAGGCTACGAACAACCCCTGGGGTCAGAGATGCCAGGTAGAGGCGGGAGGGGTGGCTTGCAGGAGGGCAGGCGGGAGGGACCCGGCAGGTGTCCTGGGGATCTGAGCTGACCTTTGCCCTGCCTGGGGGCATCCCTTGCAGATTTTGGGGGCGCCGGGGGGGGGGGGGGGGTCTGGGGGGGCCTGGCCAGGTGGACACGTGATGGAAGTTGGCAGGGTGTCACGGCTCTGCTTTCTGGAGCAGCTGGAACACGGTGACAATGCATGGGGCTAAGGCCCTTGGGATTTGATTCCCCGGGGCTTGCAGACTCCGGTTCCACACTGGTGAGCCCGAAATCCCAACAGTTCCCTTCCCAGGCCAGCGGTCTTCATGGCCTGATGGTCAAGCTCTCAGTACTAACTGCGGTCTGAACCCTCAGCAGTGCCGCGAGGTCACGTCTAACCCACAGCCCACTGTGCCCTGCTGGCCTCCCAGGCTGTGAGTCCAAACCACAGGAGGCTGTCCCCTCTGAGACTCCAACCGAATGAGGACCTAGAGGGACAGGCCGCAGGCCACTAACCCAGCGGTTCTGACCATGGTGGTCCGGATCCGCCCGCAGCTCTGAGGGAGGAGAACGGGCAGGACACAGGTCACAGCCTCGGAAACCGATGTGAAGAGCCTGTGAGCTGGCCCTGACTCGCCAGCAGTGAGACCAAGCTCAGGATGACCTGGTGGTGCGTGGGCCCCAGCACTGACCACGAGGCCGGTGGGTCTGCTCTCTGCCGGAGGATGTGCCCCACTGCTTCCCCAATGACCTCTGGCTGGGAAAGCCTGCGGGCCTGCTCCCCCGCCTGCGGGGCCCCAGGAGTCGGAGCTCACCCCACAGCCATGGCATTTGGGTGCAGTTTAGCTGTGTTCTGGGGTCACCTCGGCCCCAGTTAGATGTGCTCTCTGGATGTAAACCTGGAGAGCCTCAGCCTTTCTATCTGTGAAATGGGCCGATGCGCTGGGTGACTGCAGGGACTGGGTAAGAGCAGGCCTCGGAGGGCCTGGTGCTCGGGGCTTGACAAATGCGGGCCCCTGTCACCTGTCACCCCGAGGGGCAGCAGCACGACCGGGAGCTGGCTGGCTGTGCACCCCTCATCAGCCCTGAGAGACCTGGAGGCCAATAACCCTACTTTGGACCTTGGTGGCATTTGTTAGGATTCACCTGCAGCCTGGCTGTGGGTGGGCCCCACCACTCCCGCTGTGGGGAGGGGCCAGTGGACCAGCCTGTTCAGTGCCCTCTTCCCACGGCAGATGGGAAGGTGGGCCTCAAGGCCTAAGCTCCACACTTGGCTGTCCCTGAGTCCTCAATCTGGGGTGACTCGATGCAAGTCAAGCTGCCATGGATTCCCAAGTCACCTTCCCACAGGCCAGGCACCTTCTTGGTCTTCTGGCCAGATTAAAATGCACACAACACGATCAGGTAAGTACTATCAGGCTCCCAAATTACAGATGGGAAAACTGAGGCGCAGAGTGCAGCCTGTGTCGATGGCAGAGCACAGGCAGGCTGGCCCCAGGGACACACTACTGGACAGCCTGGAGTGTCCCTCAGGCCCTAAGAGGGCGCGGCGGGGCACACACGGACCGCTGACTCTCCAGCTGGTTTTGGAAACTGTAAATGGCACGGGAGGTGAGTGCCCGTCTTCGTCCCTTGGAGCTGCTGGTCGAGTCAAACTGCTTATGACTTGGTTCCGACTTGACAGCACGGAACATTTCTTTTACCGCTTAATAAATGATCTAGACTTGGCTTCTGCCGTGTGTCACCAAAGAACCCCAACTGCTACACATGCTGAGGGGCTCTGACAAAGAGTGGCTGCAGAAACCACGGTCTGCTCGCTCTCTCTGAGGCTGATAAAGGGCCCGAGTGCAGATGCTGAGATGAGAGCGAGGACTGAATGAGCTGAGCACTGGGCAGCATGCCCACGGTGGGGCTTAGCTCGGGCAGGCCTGGCCAGGAACCTCCTGGGAAGAACAGAGCCCACACCCGCCCTCGGGGAAGGGCGGAGGAGAGAACTCTGCAGGGTCTGTCCCACTCACCGACACACGCTGTTCTCACTGACCACAGAGATGGAACCGACCCACAGCTGACCCTCTGGTGGGCTTTCAGAGGCAGTTAATTACACAGGAGGAGATTGCCCACCGCGGACAGCTGGTGGCCTTGAACTGTGTGCCTTTGACACTGCACTAGGCCACCAGAGCTCTACCGGCACATGTTGTTAAGTGCTGTCAAGTCGACCCTGTTCTGTTCTGCACCATCCTCACGCTTCCTGACACACAGGAGCCCATTGTAGGAGTCACCGTGTCAATCCACCTGGCTGAGAGTCTTCCTCTCCTTCACCGACCTTCCACCCTTCCCAACATCATGTCCCTCTCCAAGGAATAGCTCCTCCTAGCAACCTGTCCAAAGTATGTGAGGCGAAGCCTTATCATTCTTGCCTCCAAAGAGCACTCTGGCTGCACCCTCTGCAAGACATGTGTTTGTTCATTTGGCCATCCAAGGGATATTCAGTGCTCTTCTCCCACACACAGCTCAAAGGCGTCAGTTTTTCTTGTCATCCTTACTCACTGCCCAGCTCTTAGATGCTTAGCAAGTGATCAGAAAGACCATGGCCTGAATCGGACATACGTTAGTCCTCAAACTGACATCAGTACTACTCAATAATTTGGGGAGGTCCCAAACTGCAGATTTGCCCAGTGCAATGCTTCTCCTTATTTTCTGACTGTTGGTACCAAGGGTGTTAAGTGTGGATCCAAGTGGGAGGAAGCTGCTGACAGTTTCAATCTCCTTTCCATCCATCATGATGCTGTCTACCCACTGGCACCCAGGAGGCACTTCACCAACACCTGTTCAGTAACTGTGGTGGTGGGAGGTGGGACCACGGGAGCAGAGGCCCTTCTGAGTCAGGGGACCCCTGGCTGGAGCAGACATGTGATCAAGAGAGCAGCAAGGAGTGAGGTGAGGGCACTGACTTAAATCCACCAGAGCTTCACTGTTCTCTTCTGGAGAATGGGAGCAAGAGGCCTCTCCTGTAAAGCTGGCCGCGTGGTGCCAGGCACACAGCAGCACTCACCGGTGACCACAGGCATATTCTCAGAGGCCGCAGGGCCAGCTCCTGTTCCTGGCTCTGGACGAGATGCTGCTAGCCTTCTGCTTTTGGGCCTTGCACAGGGCACAACACAGGCCATGGGACAGCTGCCTTCTGGTAGGATGGCCTTCATCTCAGTGACGGGTCCTCCTGCACCAGACCCCAGGGTGAGGCTCCCCAGAGTCCCCAGGAGTAAGACAAAGGTGCAGGCGCTCGACTTGATTCATGCCTAGGCCAGGAGGCCAACTTCGGGAAGGACTTCTC